CTTCTGGTGATCCATCTGCCTCGGCCTGCCAAAGTGCTGAAATTACAAGTGTGAGCCACTGCACGCAACCCCAAAAGGAAGGAAATTCTTGCACATGCTACAACACGAACGAAACTTGAGGACAATGATAAATAAAATAAGTCAGCCACGAAAAGACAAATACCGTGTGGTTCCACTTACATGAGGAATCTGAAGTAATAAAATTCATAGAAATAGAAAGAATAGTTGCCAAGGGTTGGAAGGAGGAAGAAACAGGAAGTTGTTTAATGGGTGCAGAGTTTCGGTTTTGCAAGGTGGAAAAGTTCTGGAGCTCTGTTGCACAACAGTGTGAATATATATACTACCACTGAACTGAACACTTGAAAATGGTTAAGACTGTAAAATTTATGTGCTTTTACCATAATTTAAAACTTTTTAAAAAGTAGCATAAACAGGCCGGGTGTGGTGGCTCATGCCTGTAATCCCAGCACTTTGGGAGGCCGAAGCAGATGGATCACTTGAGGTCAGGAGTTCCAGACAAGCCTGGCTAACATGGTGAAACCCTGTCTCTGTTAAAAAATACAAAAATTAGCCTGGCATGGGGGCATGTGCCTGTAATCTCAGCTACTTGGGATGGGAGGAGGGGAGGAGAATCTGTTGAACCTTGGAGGCAGAGGTTGCAGTGAGCCAAGATCAGGCCACATACTCCAGCCTACGTGAAAGAGAGAGACTCTGTCTCAAAAAAAAAAAAAATCATAAACATAGATATATAGCTTGCAACTTTTCTGTCTGCCTTAAAAAATAGCTACATGCAGCAGTGACTATGAATCTATGTGATAGACACACAGTGCATGAAGTTGTCATTGGTATGACAATAGCACAAAGGAGTGGGAAGGGAACTGAGCTATAGGAGTGAAGTTCTTGTATACCACTGAAATTAAGTTGGTATTAATCCAGCTAAGTTGTCATAAATTAGGATTTATAATTGCCTGGGAAAGCATGGAGAAAATAATTTAAAATATATATAGTAAAAGATATGACAAAAGAATACAGTAGACTAGAAAATATCTATGTAACACAAAGAAGGCAGTGATGTTCATATGTAGATTCTGTGCCAGTGGGTGTGGGTAACTGTTGAACCCCATTTGTGATGAAGCTAAAAAAGGTAGTGATAAAAAAATTTAGAAACCAAAACGATACAATAGAAAATACATATAGAAAACAAATAGTAAAATCAAAGATATAAACCTCACGTTATTAGTAATTATATCAAATGCAAATAGGTTAAACTCACAAATTAAAAGACAGAGATTGGCAGAATCAACCAAAAAACCCCTAATCCAACTGTATTATGTCTACAACAGACTTAATTTAGATACGAAGACACAAATGAATTGAAATTAAAAGGATGGGCCGGTAGAGAAGTCTCCCGCCTATAATCTCAGGACTTTGGGAGGCTGAGGTGGGAGGATCATTTGAGGTCAAGAGTTCGAGGCCAGCCTGGCCAACTTGGTGAAACCCCGTGTCTACTAAAAATACAGAATTTAGCCAGGCATGATGGCACATGCCTATGGTCCTAGCTAGTTGGGAGGTTAAGGCAGGAGAATTGCTTGAACCCAGGAGGTGGCAGTGAGCCAAGATTATACCACTGCACTAAAAGGATGGAAAAAGATATTCCATGCAAACAGCAATCAAAAGAGAACTGGAGTGGCTATACTAAGAAAAAATATACCTCCAGACAAGAATAATTCCTAGAGACAAAGGACATTTTATTAAGGGGTCAATCTATTAAGAAGATAAATTCACCTGTGCTCATTGTCATCTTACAAGCCAAATGGAAGTGTTGCTAGCCAGCCAAATAGCTGTCACAGTGTTTCTGCTTAGGAACTGCTTGACAAGAAGACAATGTATTAAAATCTTCAAAGTGGCCGGGCGCAGTGGCTCAAGCCTGTAATCCCAGCACTTTGGGAGGCCGAGGCGGGTGGATCACGAGGTCAAGAGATCGAGACCATCCTGGTCAACATGGTGAAACCCTGTCTCTACTAAAAATACAAAAAATAGCTGGGCATGGTGGCGC